CCATTGGTTGTGCCGCGTTCACCAGTCTCAACTGTTGGCCAACCTCTGCAGGCACACTTTCAATGAATTGCGACGCTAGCAGCTGTGCTTGCGACTCCTCATCCAAATTCGGCAGACCCCGGCGCGGCAATCTTGTCAATTCCACGGCCAGCACGAGTGGGTCGCCACCCACCGACAGTCTCGCCTCTCGGAACTTCTGCAGCGCGTCCTGACTATCCGCCGGGCTGTCGAACTCCACCAGTAGCCTTTCCGTCACCACCTCCCAGTCAGGGTCCTCCACACCATCGTACACCGCTCTCGCCCTGCCTCTTAGTAGAGTCCCCAGCACCACCGCCTTCGCCCTCCGCTCCTTGACTCCGACCAGCTCCGCCACGGCCTCGAACTCCTTCAAGAAGCTCCTTACATCTCCGTCTTCAAACTCCCGAGGCCATGGAATCTTCATCCTGTGTAGAGGCAGCGACACCAATTGAGAAGACTGAGGCAGGCGCGATAGATTGTATTTAGCGAATTTACACTCTTAGTCAATTAAAAAAGAAAACATTACATTGAACACTCTATTGACACACCATATTTGAGTCCTGACTTCCTTTACTTCCTGTCGGTACTCCATTTACTTCTTGCTTTTGCTCTATTTGCTTTCCGTTTTCCTCTTGTGACCGTGAGAGTTCTTCTTTCACGTCCCTTCTTATACTACTTATATCGTTCGTATAAGTAGCACACACCACAATATTGTTAATTTTTTAGTATATATATATATATATATATATATATATATATATATATATATATATATTCAAGAACCAATGAAATTATTTTTCAAAAAAGACGTATATTAATGTCATGTAATATTTGCAGTTGGATTTCAGTTGTACTGTATACAATGAAATATTTCCTGAAACACTATTGAATAATTTCATTTCGATCAAAAAATCGATCAGAAGTATACAATTTTGATGAGTTTAGTAAAACAAAAAACTATTCATGCACTAAATATTACTGTACAGATTATACTTCAAAATATATACCTTCCTCTTGATGATATGAATAGATTTCTTGTGTGCTTTAAGAAATATTGAGTTATTAAATCGAAGTAATTAGGGAAGTAGTGTTTTAGTATTGACTAGCGTTTTTTTTTCTTCCAAAAGTCATGTAAATATCTATAACAAAATTTTTTTTTGTATATTTTAACTATGTCATGAATAAATGAAAGTAAGGCATGACTTTTTCTACATAATAATGATTTATGAGATTAATTGTCAATATGTGCTAGTGAATTCTTTCAAAATGTGAAATGAAATAGTAATAATAATGATAATAATAATAAGGCCAGTAAAAGAGAAATCCCCTATTTCATTGGTGTAATTAATCACGTGTAAAAGTCAAGGTTAATTTTTATCGGTTGTCATTTGTTGTTAGATTTTCTCTTTTTGCGCACAGAACATTTCGTATTAGTTTTGTTTATGATAAAAACTATTTGAACAAACAAACAAACAAACAGAATCACTAGGTTGACTGTTGATGTTTCTAAAGATTTACATGTAAGATAACTTGTACGACAAATGTAGGTTTTTTGTTTATAGTTTATTGATTGACTTAGATTAAAATAAGTTTAAGTAGTTCTAAGTAGGATTTGTCAATGCTCAAAAAGTAAATTACACAGTTCATTTAAAAAAGTACAATTATAAGGAATGGTTGCTATGACACTTTAAATTAACAATTATCATAATGTTTTGAAATAAGATGATAAGTAAAATTTACACACTCTGATGGAAGTCATTATCATTCAGAGAATCCAAGCACAAGATAGAATTGGATTAGTAGTAAGTACTATAATAATAGGAGACTGGTGAGCAGTTAATATGAAAATCTCAGTCCTAAAAATCAGTTATGATCGAAATAACTTGGGGCAGTAACATATCTTACTGAAACCGAATAAGCCGGATTTGAATCCACTATAGAGCATCAGTTACCAAAAGACTTTAGTGACGTCCAGTTAACAAGTACTGACTAGCACGGAACTTAGTCAACAGATTCTTGTCAACTACCTTTAATCACCTTATATTCCAAAATAAAAAATAAAACAGATAGTTATAAAGTGACCTCTTAATTTGACTAGTAAGGTATCATTTACGAAGCTTCATGCAATTTATGCAAACTAATAGTACGGAAAGTTACTTCGTATACAGCTGACATTAGGTTAAAAGTCAATGACTGTAAAATTTCAGTCACTTATGATTGTGCAAGAACAATTTCAATGCTTCGATGGAAATATATGCCTGTTTCATTTTTTTCAGTAAAAGCCTAATGAAACTAGTGTTTTACATACTTATGAAAAATTTTTTCATGTATTTAAGCAAGAATGTAGTTAGGACAGTAGAAAGTTTAATCTAAGTCTATGAAGATACAATTATTTTCAGTGAACTGCCATGTTAGCAGTAATCTGCCAAAACAACGATCAGATTCCCAATTACTTTGAATGAGAGAATGAATGGTTAAATAAAATATGGAGAAAATCAAGGACTCCGCAACGGAAACTAACTCGTTCAATCGATAATTATCTCAATTGTACATATACCTCTTTTCTATATATATTTTCATAACTTAAATTTATCAAACTTAATTATTGCTTGATTATTTGATGATCGAGCTATGATTTACTTTCTTATTGAATTTATAACTTCATGACGAATATTTGATTTGATTTATTAACCACAATATTTCAGTCATTTCCTTCTTTCGGATAGTTAAGTCCTACTAAGTAATAATTATTTCACTCAAGGATAAAATAATCTCAGGTGAGAACTGAATTATACTACAGAATTCACAAACAAACGAAGCTTTTATAGTCTAATTTGAATTACCAGGTAGTTGCGATAACTAGATTCTATGAGCAGGGCAAACAGTTGAATTGATGATGTGATTTTCTTCTTAAAAAAATGGAATAGTTTTGAATCATATTTTGTGAAAAATTTCTACAGCAACTAGTGAATGAGACATTTTGATATTCCAATGAATTTTTTCAATGTTTTAAACTGAAAGATACATATATATATGTATACACAATGCATTACAGGACCATAGAGTTAACATTTATACAAACAAAACTCTTTTTTTTTTACATATTTAAACCTATACATGCAAAATACAACATTCTCTACAAAATATTTTTCATGTCATTCACAAGGTGTACAAAAATTTGTACTTTATTATTGTCGATTATGTTCACATGTGAATAATTTGAAAGAAATGTCAATCAAATGACTTGATTATTTCAATTTATCTATAATTAGATTGATTCATAGTGTAAAATATAATTTTACATTTATTTACTACATATATATTTATTAAGGTAACATAAATTTGAAATTCAACTTTTTGTATTTCGTTTATGCTACTATTCCCAGAGGTTTCACTGATCTCATATTATCTCTTTAGATCAAATGAAAAAAAAAATCATCATCGTAAACATTGTGCTTTTCTCAATTCGATTTCTCCAAGTACATGTTTTTTTTTTAAGATTGGTCATGTTATTCGTATGCAAATCAATGACTATATATAATAAAAATAATCTTGTTTAAAATATTATTTTCAATCAATGAATGTTCAATGAATAAACCAAACAATGGTTGACATATATATATATATATATGTAGGGAACAAATCAATCATATACTTATCAATAATATGTAATAGATATTATCATAAGCTACTTTGTATAAATCGAGAACTGCAAATCATTGACTGACAAGTTGTAATTTTTAATGATTAACAAAAAGATTATTCTAATCATACTGTACACTATTCTTACGCTAGAAATGCTACATTCAAACAGTATAAGAGTCATGAGATTAAATGTTCATGTAATATCATCATTAGTTAAATAAAACTTTAAGATATTTGAACATATCCTTATTGATGAGATAATCAAAGGGTTGAGATAAAAAAGAGTTAGGCCGGGGACAATTTAAGGTCAGTTAATTTACATTTAAGCACATCCATAGATAATCCATTGTTTAATAAAGGGTGTATGAGATGGTTGAGTTTCAAATGAAGCAGACTATCATTTGGTGCAAAGATTAGTAAGTTATTTGCATTCAGGGGATGACTATCAACAAGGGGATTTCATTATGACTAAATATCAGGGAGCAACTTATAAAATGTCATGATAAACAATGGTAAGAGGGGTTCTCTTTTCCTAACTCCTTGCAAACAGTAGCACTTCCATCAAATAAGCAGGATTCTAGGTAAGCATATAAAGCTCTGGTGCTGTACAATCTTTCAGTACATATAATAAGTTCATGTGGTAGAAAGTCTTGGAAGTTTCAATAAGCCTTAGGGTATATCTTTTGAAAGATAGGTAAGTCTCCAAGAATATGACATGATGAAGAACTACTGTTGAGAAGCATTCATTTTGTGGTAGACAAGTGAGTTGTAGTTTCAAGAGTGGGAAGGCATTCAATCAACGTTTCGTTAAGACTTTGTGCAGTTATTCAATGGAATTCGGCATGATCAAGAGAGTACGGAAAACAACACGCTGAATGAGAATGTAACCTGTAAAAGATGTGATTAGTACAATAACGAAAGTTTACGTAACACTATTAGTTTTATATCTACTTTGATTAAATTGGCCTCTAAGATAATATCAGTCCCTAGAGCAACCGCCCACATATAATTCACAGCCCATTCAATAGCAACATTAATGTTAAAATATATTGTATCACTACAAAATTATTGTTTGTCGGACTGTTGTTGAACTATATTTTTTTTGAATCCTTCGATATCATATATGCTCACATCCATTACATTTAGACCACACCGAATAAGTAGTATTCACGAACTCTAGGTTTATGATAACTGATTAACACAATCGAAGACTATTGATGTTGCATATATGAACTTTTATAACTGTTGTATGTTTATATATGTAGACTATGTTAACTGATGAATAGAAACACAACAACACACTCTTATGATAAAAGAAATTAGAAAAAAAAAGAAACATTATATTATATTCATATAATTATATTCTACGAACAAGATATATGTGAGATATTTTTGAGAATTTTTTTTCTTTTCAGGGATTTAATAGAGTAGACTACTAGTAAATGTGATGTGTTCTTTTTTTGTCACTCTTTCACACCCAATTTATTAAATATGGAACACTCAAAAAGAAAAAAAACCCAAAGTAACAGCAATCAACCCGAAATTAATGAAAAATATACAATCTAAAATAAATTAATTAATTGAAAAGAAATTTTTAACTACGAATACGATGTACACTTGATGATAATCCATATTATTTATTCATTGTCAATTATTATGTATTTATTTATCATCACAAATAATAAAATATAGAAAGAGAAAAGAAAAAAAAAAGACAAAACAAATATCAACATTATCAAAGTGATTGTAATAAAGAGACGATATACACATACACACACACAAACACGCACACACACATGCCAACGAACACATAGAACGATGAAAGAGGAGGTAGAATGAGGCTGGTGATAGATGGATCAGAGCATTTGAACGATAACGATGATGAAAAAAAAACAAAACAAACAAACAAAACACATACACACACAGAGTCATAAAAACCAATCATAAGAAATAATTATCTAGAAAAGAATGTGGCATCATAAAATGAATATATATATATATATAAACTTATTTTTATCTTCTGTGTGTAGTAGTTGGTCAGTCTTGTGTTTTTTTTCGGTTTTGGTTTTGTTGACTAAAAATAAATTTTTTTTTCTTCATGATATTATTATACAAGTAAGTAATATGTACATTATGTAAGGGTACAGTTGAAAATGATGATGAACAAAAGGCGCACTAACACACATACATGAGTAGTATACAATAAGAAAAAGGAATAAGAGAATGATTATCACTGAGTGTGAAAGATTCATATTCATGTACACATTGGATATTATGTCACAGTTTTCAAATGGATTATTTGATTTAAGAAAAAAAAAACAAGGATGGATGTTGACAATGTGATGGAGTAATATCAATGGAGTTAGTCATTACATTGTGATGTTATTTCTTTGAGTTATTTTTATGATTAAAGAAAACTAACTCCACTAACGCGGTATAATACTTAACATGGGATAACAGAAAAAAAAGATGTGTTCATCATAAACACATTAAGACATGATTCAATTTTTCGGAAATCAAGAAAAAAATTCAGCTCAAACGAAAAGATTTTCTAGTAAAACTGAAAAAGACAAAAGAACTGTATGTGAATAGAAATCAAGAAAAAAAATTGAAGAGAATAATACACACACATACACTTGTTAGGATAGGATAATATGTATTAATTAATTGGTGGAAAGACGTTTACTGGTAGTAACAGTTGTAATAGTAGTAGTAGTAGTGGTAGTAGTACAGTCAGTAGTAGTAGTAGTCTTAGTGGTAGTATCAGATTTAACCGGTATACTATTATTGTTTCTATTGTTATCACTATTATTACTACTATTATTATTATTATTATTATTATTATTACTATGACTAGCAGACACAAGTGATTTATTGGTCCGATTGTTTTGACTACCACTAGATGACGATTTCACATTGCCACTTTCAAAGATTTCTTGTAATTTACTGACCATCAATCGATTCGATGGATTAGTCAATGATGCACGATGTGAATTAGCCTATAAAGAAAAAAAGGAATTATTTCGAAAGAAGAAGAAAATAAAACTAGCATTATGAATGCATATAAAAGTTAGTGTTATGTTTGTTATTTAAAAAAACAACGACGACAATAACAACAACAACAACAAAATAAATGAACATCAGGTATTTTTTTATCTCAACTAAATAACAGTAAACATTGACTTATTAGTCAGGAATAATTCATGCAACAACAACTACTACAACAACACATGAGATCACACACACAGGAAAAAGACAGTTAATCTAGACATTTGAAAATTGTACTGTATTAGTTTGATATGGAGAAGTACACACACGCACACACACACACACACACAGAAAATTATTTGGTTAATTAGGTAAACAATAATATTGCTGATACTCGACTATTATTATTACTACTACTACCACTACTATTAGTATTAGTTTTATTCATAGTAATGATAATGTAAAGCTTTTTTTTATTTAGTTACATTATTTCATAATTAATCATTATCATATTAATTGATTTGTTACTAACCAGTTTATTATTGAATTTCTTTAGAATAAATTCTGCACTAAATTAAATTAAATAATGAATAAACAAACAGAGATAGATATGACATAGAACTAAATAAAATTAGGCAACATAAAACAAAATGTTTTGAATAAGATATTCATTGAAAAATAAATAATATTTAGTTGACTTTGATTACCTTACTACTACTACATCGATACAACAAGTGTACAACTATATATTTTTCTTTCTGACATTAAACTTTCAAGGATAAGTATGAGTAATGTACATAACAGTAAAAAGAAGTAGATTATGGATCAGTAGTTAAAATCTCCGGAATTCGAACACTGAGTTAGCCGTTTTTAATATTAGTGACTTTAATGTTACTTCAGCGATCATAAAAGCATGAAAAATCTTCTCGAAATAAGTATACTATCTTAACATCTGGCATAGCATTTAACGCAGTTAACAGAAAAAATAATAGTCCTCTTCTGACAAATACAGGGGAATCAGTTTGACTAATGAAGTGTCCAAAATGTTAGCTTAAACAATATTTCGACGCCTGATTAGAGCTCGTGAAGAGCAGATTCGAGAAAGCCAGACTGATATCAGAACTGGACGTGGCCGTATAGACCAGATATTCACACTTCGACAGTTCCTAGAAAACAGACACACATTTTGGCGTCCCTAACCATAAGGCGGTGTTTGACTATGTTGATCGTGAGGTTTTATGGCAGTGTCTGTCATTGAGAGGAGTACCACAAAAACTTTATACAAGCTCTCTACTCGAACACTGTTGCTAGAGTAAGAACTTATGATGAACAGTCATCAGAATTGATTACCTCAAGTGCTGTTCGTCAGGGTTATCCGCTATCTCCATTCCTATTCAACATTGTTGTTGAAATGCTTTTAGAGACGACATTTTCAGGAGTTGACCTTCTATCAAGAGATTCAGTTGTTTACTTAGGATAAGCTACTGACATAGCTCTATTAGGTGGAGACTCTGACTACCTCAAGCAACAATACAAGCATGTCCGGGGTGCGATTCTCCCCGTCGAAATGCAAAACATTGCTTCAAGATTGGCTTGCATCGGCAGCTGAACTAATGATAGGGAGTGAAGCAGTTGAGCGTGTTAACCGCTTCACTTATCTCGGTAGTCTCATCAAAGCCGATGGCCTGGTGAATAAAGAGATCTCAGCGCGGTCACCGAAGGATCGACTGGCTTTTGCCAACTTGCAACGCGTAGGCGAGATATCCGTCTGCTGACTAATGGGCGAGTGTACTGCGCAGCAGTTCGCTCTATCCTACTAAATGTCCGTGAAACATGGCCAGTAAAAGTTGAGGATATTCGTGGGTTACTAGTATTCGATGACAGATGTCTCAGAAGCACTGCTCTAACATTCTGGGACAACCAAGTAAGCAATGCTGTCTTTAGGACACGAGTACTGGGTAGGAACGGCGAATCAGTTAATGAATTATTGAAACTTTATCAGTTGAGATGGCTGGGACATGTGTTACGTATGCCTAACCACCGACTGCCTCGACGAGCTATGTTTTGTGATGTAGGAGTAGGTTGGACGAAAGCTAGGGGTGGCCAGACCAAAACGTGGCACAAACCCATGAAGTCACTGACAAGTGGACTGAGTCATGTTGGTAGGTGTCGACTACCTGGTTGGGGTCCGCGAGACAAAAGTAACCGATAGTTAGAGACTTTGAACTACATGGCTCAAAACTGTTTGCAATGGCACCGGTGCATTTATTCTTTGTGTTCTCTCAAATCCTAATCTTTTGAATTCGTCATGTCCGTTTATCCTCTTGTTGAATTGATTTCACTGGGATATACTTGTTAAATCATATCTTCAATATCTAATTTTTTCTGCTATCGCTAGTACTGATACTACCTCTTCCACTATAGGAATTGAATCGATAATCGCATCCCTGTGCTGTCGTGGTACGGCAACATGAGCTGGAGTACATACGTACGAAGTTCTAAGTTGTTGTTGACTGACTAGCTAATAGATAGCTCTAAATATGTTTTTTGAAAAATGAAGCAAATATCATTTACAAGATTGTTTTTGTGTCAATTTTAGTAATATGCAGCATAAATATAGACTTACAGATAAAACACTGTTAGGTGATAATAACTGTTAAAAGATCAGTAACTTTTTTAATGGGAATTTCATGTGTACGCTTAACAGGAATATTCCTTATGCAAGGTAAATTTCTTAAATTAACGATGTATGAATAAACTAGGAATTATGTAGCTTATAATGACAGTGGCAATGATGACAGAGAAGAATGAAGCTTTAAATAACTCGAATAACAGAATTCGGTAAATTTCATACTAAAATATTAGATTGCATCTAATGTATGTTGGAAAGAGTACTGTAGCTGGAAGTTCCGATGTTACACGATGAAATTCGACTAGGTGAATAAACTAGTCACTGGTAAACCTGTAAGTTAAAAAAGATCAACTCGAAGCGCCCAATAATGTAAGGATTAAGAATATGAAGAAGTGAAAATATATAGAGTATTGGAAGCAAAATAGACGTCGAAAAATACTCCATTAATGCCAATTCTGTACATATATAACTGCTTTAACGTATCAACATCCCTGAAGAAAATCTGTATACAGACTGATGATCGTTCAGGTAGCAAAAAAATTTTAACTAAAACTTGATTGACTAAGGTCAACTAAATATTTGGTCAAAAATTGGTTTTCAGCAAAGGATTGAATAGCTGGCATTCTGACATACCAATAGTAAAGATTTATCCCAATGCTGATTCTTATACCATAAACAATATACAGAAGTGATATAAACGTTAAAAATTAACACTGCTGGATGCCGCCTCAGTGGTCTAGAGGTTAGACGTTCGTACGCTCGACCTAAGGTGCTGGATTCAATTCCCACGAGCGGAGATCGTGGATGCGCATTGCTGATGAGTCCCATACTAGGAAGATACGGCTGTCCAGTGCTTCCAGGTTTCTAATGGTCTTCTAGCAATGTTCGACTCATAATTTTAGTAAATTATACTTGTATAATAAACTTTAGTCAGACTTAAATTGTTATTATTTAAGAAAAGAAATGATTAAGATTGAATAATTTGTCGAATAATATCTGTACAACGATCGTAGAATCTCTGTATTTGAAGTTATTTTTTTTTTCTTAAAGCGATTCCACCTTAACTATCAACAACAAATACTGAGCAGCAGTGGATAACGTATTTTATTGCAGTTCGGGTATTATAGTCAGTGTACAACTATATTGTACATTATGTGTGAAAATCATATTTGAAATTATCTCAGTAATTGAAATTTAGATAATCCTATGAGTTGTCTTGCAAAATTAACATTTTTTCCTAACTACATAAAACAAATTTATATTCATAGATCCATAGCTTCTGTAGGTATTTTTTTAATAAATGGTTTTCAATCTATGATAAAAATAGCAACTCATGTTCTCAGACTGTTTCTAGTGCAAATATTCCGCGAAAAGAAATCATAAGACAAAACACGCATCCTGAATTCAATCGCTAGTCATATTATATCATTTCTACATAAGCCTAGAACATAACATAATGGCTATAACAAGGTGATCCTGCAGACGATGCACATATATCAACCACGACTGGTTGAAATTCAGTCAAAATATAGACACAAGGAAAAATCCAAAACATGACGTATCAAACAAAAATTCATATCTGTCGTTATAAGTGAATGACTACGTGAATTCAATGAGTAACACATTGACGCTTAAATTAAAAGGTACTGGGTTCGAATCCCACCAGAGTGAATATCAACCCTCGGGGTACAAGTATACTCAATTGACAAGTTCCAATAAAGACGGAGAATGTGTGCTGCATCCCATTACTATTCATTTTCGATTTATTCTCAATAGAAAATAAATTGCATTCTTACAAGTTACATAAAAAATCTCAAAGTTGAATAATGGTTTACGCTACCAACTTACTAATTTAAATTACTTGCCAAAAAGAAATCTATAATCAAAAGTGTAACAGTCTTAAATTTATCATAAAAATATACAATCAATCAAGATATACAATAGTTCCAGTATTAATCAGACTAAATAAATCTAAAATATTAAATTGTAATAAAAACTAAGATAATAATATTGTTTATGAATATGTCATAGAAATGGTAATTTGATGACAGACAGTTGAACCGAGAAATACAAACAGAACAGTCAACCAACATTCAATTCTGTTAAGAAAATAAACACATTCTCAACTGACCTTTTCATTTATATATCCATTCATTATAGGACGATTCACACATTTTGTTTCAGTTAACTGATTCATTCCTAAATTTTGAAATCTACGAACAATTTTCAAATCACCCATATTACCATTATTATTATTATTATTATTAGTCATTGTTGAATTATTATTTACAGGACTAGCTGTTATTTCTAATTCTTGAACTGCTCTAGAAACAGCACCGAAGGATGAATAGGATTGTTTATTATTAGTTTTAATTGAAAATTTCGATGAATTAATTTGACTAGTCATTTCTTTAGTAGTTAATTGAACAAAATTGAAATTTTTATTTGCAGCAGACGTAGTAGCAGTAGTGATATCGTTGTTGCTACGATCAGTAGTAGTCGAAGAAGAAGTAGTAGAGGAATAAGTACTAGATGATTTGACTGAAACAGATAACTGGTTATCATGAGAAGAATCAACTTCAGTCTAGGAAAATCAACAGGAAAACAACACAAATGAGAAAAAAAAGAGATACTTTTTATGTGAAAAAATAAAAATCAACTTAATAAAATTCTTATCATTATTAATACTCATTACCGTAGGTTGTTTATGGAGATTATTCAATGACATAGTTGACATCACAGACTGATCTTAATTGGTAACAAATTAAAAGCCCTGAAAATCTGTTTCATGCAAGAAGGAAATTCAACAATCCTGACTGCACACTAAAGAGTTGCGAAAGTTGATTTTCGTAACTTTGGTGAGTGTTATCAAGGGAAGTTCAAGTGAATCAAATGTGAGGCAAGTAAACACCAATGACTCTGCATAGTGAATGCCCAATATCGCGAATGGATTAGTTGTTACACAATTACACCAATGGTCAAGAGGTTGAGTGTTTGCCTACAGCTTTAGGGTTTGATTCTTCGTACGGATCAGTGTGATACGTAAACAATGAGATTAATGATACTATTGTTTCAAGTACTTAACTGAAGATGATTCAGTACTAAATATTGAATCTTGTATAAAACTGCATAAGATTTTTTTCTCGTTGTTGATATCAACATGCAAATAAAATAATAAGACAAAACTAAAGAAAAGTTGAGAATAAGAAAAGAAAATAGTAAAAAAACCCAAAGTTAGAAATAATAAAAATGCTTATTTTGTTTAAATAAAGAGTGAAATAAAGGAAAAAGGCATTACGTATTGACTTTCACGGTAACATTTGAAGAATATTCATCTGAAATGTCGATGTATTATCAAACATCATTCTAAGTAATAACAAAGTTAGATTAAGATTATCAACAACAGAATAATTTAAATCATTTTTAATTGGTGATATAAAATCTGACTACTTTCACATTGGTATTATAATCAGTGTATCAAAAAACCTTTCTATAAGCTAAAATATATATAAATTCAATTATTGGATTATTGATTAGATCTAGTTACATAATCAACTGAGTTCGGGTCATGTGATTTCAATCAGTTGAAATAACTAATTTAATAGTGAAGTTGAAACATTGAACACTTTAAAATGCATTGCACTTACTGAAGTATTATGTTGTGCTGAAGTAGTGACATGTCCAGTTGCAGCTGCAAATGCTGCACCTAATCGACCAATTATATTATTTGGAAAGTTTACACGCCAACCACCACCACCAGTAGCACTATGACTTGTATTATTATTATTGTTAGTAGATTTATTCGAAGTAGAATCTAATAAAGTTTTATCATTAGTCAAATCATTGAATATTTTCGAATTGATATTTGTATTGGAATTATTATTATTATTATTATTATTATTATTATTGGTTTTATTAATAATTGAAGAACTGGTTTTAGATACAGAGTCGGGAGGTGAATTGCGTGCGTTCAATGTTTTTACACTGTTAATCGGAATGGAACAGTCTGATGAGCTGATCTCAGTATTTCCTTGATTATTTCGATTTTCAGCAGCTGTAGAATAAAAATATAAAACCAATTAATTATGTAAGGATGGGTACAAAATAAGAACTCAATAGAAAAATATCATTTCTAATCATAAAAAGTTAAATCATAAAACTAAACATAAAGTATGAATAATGGAAAAGACAATTAGAATAAGGCAAATATTTTAGTTTCTCAATTTTCCAAGTTAAATCCGAATGGTTATTCAGAGAGTTCTTACTAAACTATGAAGCTAAAATAACTGGGATGAGTACTGAATAGGAACAAGGGTTTACACTTTCTATTCAAATAATGTATTGATGAGTTTTGATAAAATTAAAAAAAGAACCTTAAATACTTTAGAGAATTTGCAGACATTCGACAGATAAATAAATTCATTTTAATCTTGTCACCTGCATGTATCAACATGCTTATGTAAAGTGTACCAACTCGGACAGGTGTAATGAAAAAGCTCAAATTATCGAAGATTAACTGAGAAGCAACAAACAATACAGCAAGATAAGACTTTCAGGACTTGAATGAAAAAAACAGTGCGAATATTACAAATGAATTCCCTATAATAGCTTTTATTATTTTTCGCAAAAAAATTAAGCATGACGCCAGGACAGATTATGAAAATAATCACTGTTATTTACTGATAATTTCCTAACTAATTAAACAAAAACATTTTATGTAATAATTTTATTCATTAAGTACGGAAGAATATTTGTCAGTATATATACTTCTCAAAGATATCTAATACAGATGTGATTCATTTGGAACTATAATTATGGTGAGATTGAAAGCCATTCAAATATAGACAATATCCCTTCATATTTTTGATTTTGAAATTGATTACAAACAAGTAAGTAATCGAGTAAGAGCACAATAAGGTAATTATCATCATTGGCCTATAGAATTTTAGTGTTAGAAATAAATTTAAGATATTCCCTTTTGTTTGATTTAATCTCATCAATTACCTATTTTACTTTAACTTACGCCTGTTACCCCCAATCGAGCAAAGGCAGCCTACCAGTTTTCTCCAACCAACTCTGTCCTGGGCATCCGTCTCCAGTTCTGTCCAATGTTTGTCCAGTCCTCTCATATCTTTCTCTATTTCTCGGCGTAATCTGTTCCTTGGCCTTCCTCTTTTCCTTTTGCCTTGAGGGTTCCATGTAAGGGCATGTCTCGTGACGCAGTTAGGTGCTTTTCGTAGTGTGTGTCCTATCCACTTCCACCGCTTTTTCCTGATTTCCTCCTCCACTGCAATCTGATTTGTTCTCTCCCACAGTACGTTGCTGCTGATGGTGTCTAGTCAACGACACTTACAACTGTTAATAAACACTTGTATCTTCTGAATGATGGCTTTGGTAGTTCTCCAAGTTTCCGCTCCATACAGTAGAACTGTCTTGACATTTGTATTGAAAATCCTGATTTTGGTGTTGATTGATATTTGTTTGGAGTTCCAGATATTTTTCAATTGTAGAAATTCAGCCCTTGCTTTGCCAATGCGCGCCCTCACATCTGCATCCGATCCACCTTGGTTGTCGATTATGCTGCCAAGATATGTAAACATATTTACGTCCTCCAAGGCATCTCCATCAAGAGTGATTTGGTTGGTGCATGTTGTGCTGCATCAGAGAATCTTACTTTTCCATTTATATATGTTGAGACCCGCTGTTGCTGCTGAGGCTGATGCTACACTGGTCGTCTTCTCTGGATGATGAATATCGCTTGGAAAACACCTAATTTTACTGCTATTTTTTGTTTGTACATAGAAAGAACTTACGGAAAGCTAGTGTTTAAATCTCTACAAACTGAACAGAAGCAGCTATATGTCGACTAGTTTGAAGCAAAATTTCATGAAGTCGAGAATATTAATTTTGAATTTTTATTTTTAATAGTAATCGCTGAGCAAAAATCTGTGGCAACTTTCAGAAAGAAAATATTAATAACAGAAAAAAAGGAAGGCAATTGTTGGCAAAACCGTTAGAAAGTTGACAAGAAACAAGAGTAAATATAACATTATTTATTAACTCTTCATTTTTGTCAGTTTTCTTCATCATTTGTGTATATGAATAAATAAATGTAATGAATAAACGAATCTGTATACTGTGAAAGGAGCAGAGCTAACTGATATATATATATATATATATATATATATATATATCAATGGTTTAAATATAAAAATTAACATCTGGAAGTCTATTGAAAGCTAAACAGACTGGTAGTGCATAACTATAGAGTTAAAAAACAATACTCGGTTAATGGAAGTAATTGAAATCGAATCAATGAAACAAACTATTTTTCATGTTGAGATATTCTTTTCAATTCACATTTTGATTGGTAAATAATTTAAGTGAATAATGTCACTGAAAATTAATTAATTAATTAAACAGTTTTCCACAGTATCTATACTGTACGATAAAAATACATATAAACGTATACTTTATTTTAAAAAATGTTCATATTTACAAGCTCAGTAAAGTATAAGTACTAAGTGATCAATTCGTATAATTTATTGCATTTTTTTAAAACTTATTTATCAATGAGGATTTGTATCACTCACTAGAGTCAATCACATTAAGATATTAGAAAACTGTTTACGAAAGAATTTTATATGTTCTCTACAAAAAGTGATAAATATCAATGGTTTGTTTAAATTTGTAAAACAACGTTTTTGATAATTATTTCATAAGAGGAAAAAAATCTTAACATAATCACACATACATATTTTATCAGCCAGTTATCTATAATTTCGACATCAACATGTTAACATGATAATAATAATTACTTAGATTACAACAATAACTATTACTTTTAGTCTAATCAACGCCTAAACACCTATTGTAATTAAAGCAGAACCCAAAAAAAAGTTTCATTAACCGAAAAATGAACTTGTTCATTAGGATAGGGAATAACTCAACGGGTTAAGTAAAAATAACCATTGTTAATTGGTAGGTATTCTATGGTCAATTATTAATTGATTGTAATGTACACTTGCATCTTTTTTAATTGATGATTATAAACATGAACATGAACAATCAAAGCTTAGTCATTATTATTATTATTATTGTACAAAGCACACACAAGAAACAAATTAAAAGAATGAAGTTTCTATATAACTACTGATAAACATCTGCTACATAGTGAATAGGCATTAGGATTTGTAGTTTTGAAAAAAAAAAATTAAGTTTATTAAAATGCTAGAAATGAATGTAAAAAAATATGTATATAGAAATGAGGTAGAATGATTAATCTAAACACAGAGGATACAAGTTCACCAAGTTGTGTTTACTAACTAACTAACTAACTAACTGACTAAACTGACTAACAACAGCAACATCAAAACAACTGATATACACACACATATATATATAGAAATATAATTTAAATGAGAAAAACAGAATTATTCGAGTTTAGAGAATTTCCAGTAATAATGATAATAATTATTAGTAATACATTAACTGGACACCTAACTACTGTGAAACTTATCCATTCAAATTTAGAACAAAAGTCTTGATAAAAATAATAATAAACATTAAAAAGAAATACTAAAAATTTTTTTTGAAAATGATTAAGCAAGGTGAGAGGTGAATTAAATCTCATAAACAGAAAAAAAGAAGACACATGAGATGCCAGTTTATGAAAATGATGACCTACTTGTGTTAACCTCAATAAAAATTTTAAAAAAAAAGTATTGGTTGATAAAGTTGTTTATTTCAATTCCAACAACAACTAAATACATTTTTTTTAAATCGAAAAAGGTATTTCACTAACTAGGTAGGCGGTGTATTGCACGATATTATTCTATTTACGGAATTTTCAAAACAATTAAATATAGTTGCAACGTTTATATGAAAGAAGAAAACCTGTCCGACTTCTTTTTATTTTTACATTTCTTTCAGGGTCAATTATCGAAAGTCATGTATAATATAGCAATAACTGGTTAACATTCACTGTTGAAAGTGACAAATTAAAAAAAAAAGTAAGCAGGATATCATCCACGTGAAGTTTTTACTTCCTCCTACCTGTAAGTGAAACATGCTTCTAACATTAAAAATAACGAAAAATCACTCACCGACAGATTAAAGCTACTGTCATTGTAAGTGATAAATTCACAAATTTTACCAACTGGGCTATTATTCTACAAAACTTGTAGGATATCAGAGCTTAGACAAGAAATCATCGATAATTATCCATTGATAAATAAGTAGAATAATACATATTCAGTCAGTCGTTTACAACATAGAACCTATTTCCGTCATTTATTTATTATTCTGCGTCTAACCTCAAAATTACTAACGAAATGGTCCAAAAATATGTCGGCAATGGCTAAAAGCCATCTATGATCGAATAATAGTGACTTACAAATATACAATTGAAATCATCAATCAATCATTGTTAGACCACCATTAGAAACCTGGAAGCACTGGACGGCCGTTTCGTCATGGTATGGGACTCATCAGCAGTGCGCATCCATGACTCCTGCTCCTCGCATGATTCGAGCCCGAGACCTTCGGTAATGTGCGCGAACACCTAACCATTGGATCACTGAGTCAGCATCCAACGGTGTTAATGTCTAAATCTGATTGATCTACGGATTTTGCGCGACCTCACCCATTTGTCTTTGGTAGTTACTGCCTACACTCGACAGGGTTGAACTCCATTGGTCACGTCTTCTCAACTAGAACTCCGAGAATTTCCTCACGAAGCTAGTTACGAGTGAGCACTGTTACGATATTTTGGTGCAGAGTTTTGGAAATCATCAATCATTATAAATATCCCTTGATTTTAAAGGCAATGCTTCCCACACATTAAAAAGTGAAATACTAACAAATAAACTGATCTTTTAGTTGGAAAAGAGATATCCTATCTACACTAAGAGTAGCGTAAATTAGCAAAACCCAATAGGAAAATTTGTGAATTCGTGCAGATAATTCGTCAGACACTAACACTAGTTGACCAGAGAAACAAAAAGTGTAGTACAATAGAGGTGTACAAGCCGAAGTTGTCAAAATTCAAGATATAAAGAGAAATTTTAAAAATACCATTTTTTGAAAATAACAATTTCTTAGTCCCACTGTAAATATTACATAAAACTGTGTAAGCCATAAATTATAAACAGTTTTTAAATACTTACTTTGATAGTTGTTTAGACGGGAGATAACAGGTGATTTCAAATTTGTTGAGCAAGCATTAGTGTTTGTTTTGAAAGGTGATGAATTTTTTGTTTGTAATATATGGTTTACCATTGAGATTTTTTCACTATTCACTAAACTACTAACATTATTACTGTTCTTCTCGTTCTGATTTGATACTTTTTTGCAGAGTTGTTTATTTTCAAGTGTTTCGCTTGACCTATGTGATTCAGATGTGCTTTCGTCTAACGGTAATGTATTTTGGAATTTCTTGACAATGGAATTATCAGGTAATGAAGACCGTGCCTTTTCACTTACATCAACAGAAAATAATGGTGATGTTGGCGAAGATGGTGACTTCTATGGAAAAGAAAGCGAAAAATAACAAATGAAGATTACTATTGATGATGGAGACAATGATTTAAAGAAGCGTAAATGAACCAGTTAACGATATAGGAGATATAGGACATTTTGAGATATTCAGCGTTAAGTGATAAGGTAGTTAAGCGAATGTAAAGAATAAATCTTATTTTGATGTTAATTAGTTGAAATCAAATAGTATATTGAAAAATTCGGAATTATTTTTTTTGTTGGAACATATTGACACAACGATTACGTAGAATCGGTCAGTCAGTCAACAACATAGAACTTCGTACGGATGTACATCAACTCAAGTTGCCATACCACATTAAAACAAAGATATAGTTGTCAATTCAATTCCCATAGTAGCAGAAGTATTAGCAGTAATCGGAAATTTTAGGGTTCTACATTATTATTCAAGAAGTACCATCTAGAGAAATAAACTTAACAAGAAAAATATAAAGGTTCGGATTTGAGAGAACACAAAGAATGAGTGCAACTGCACGATTGCAAACGGTTTTAAACCATATCATTCAGGGTCTTAACCAATGGTGACTTTCGTCTGGCCAACCCCAACCAGGTAGTCTGCATCGACCACTTTTTAGAGACTTCATGGATTTCTGCCATGTTTTGGTCTGGCCGCCCCTAGCTTTCTTCCAACCTACTCCTACATCACAAAACATAGCTCATCGAGGCAGTCAATGGTTAGGCATACGCAACACATGTCCCAACCACCTCAACTCATAAAGTTTCAATAACTCATCTATTGATCTGCCATTCCCACTTAGCACCCGTTTCCTAACAACAGCATTGATTACTCCGTTGTCCCAGGATACACGAGCAATGCTTCGGAGACACCTATTATCGAAAACCAGTAACTTACGAATATCTACTATTCTGACTGGCCATGTTTCACAGTCATTAAGTGGGACGGAGAGTGAAATGTGTTTTTTAAAACTTTATTTAAAGAATATTAGTTTTTCAATACTATGGATATGAAAAATTATATTCAAGAAATTACTATTCCATAAGAATCGATTAGTCAATTAGGTCTTACAAAAAAATTGTACTGATATTTCATTTAAATAAGATATCAATTATACAAATTCAGCATACTGTATTTATTATTATTATTATTTTATATTTATTTCAACACCTACTAGAATGTTTATTGATGATATCGTTTGCTGTTAATTATTATAGCAATTATATTTAATTATTATTGGAAATAATTAAGTATAACATTGATTCTTGTAGGTATATGGGATTGTTTTAATCCAAATGATCAACATAACAAAATAAAATGTTATTTCGAGAGAAATGATTGTTTTGTTTGTAATTTTGGGTTGAAACATGTGAACTATTAAAAGAGAGAGAACAACATTATTGAACTGATACGGAACAATAAATAGACAATAACATGATTAAAAAAAATGAATATAGCACGGAATAAAAACAAACCGATGATTGTCTTACATCTTGCCCTTCTGTATTGTTATTATTATTATTATTATTGAACGATAAAACATTGGCATTTGGATTAGTAGCTATAAAATGTCGTAAACTAGACAATTTTTCTCTGCTTATTAGACTATCCCGTCGATAATTGGATTGTTTATTATCTTTAGGCTTTGATGGAAGAAAAAAAAATGAAAAGAAAAAAAAATGTATGAAGAAAACAATGGGAAAAAATTTTAAAAATAAAATAAACAATTTCCTATACACAAAATGATCATGACAAGGAAATGAAGGCATTAATAAAAACCCGTTTTCAATGTAATAATAACTTTAATACATAAATTTTTCATCAACATGTTTCATGAACATAAAAATCGACACAACGTCAAATCATTTAGTTTAATAGCTCCAATCCAATCTGATTGATAGAAATTTATAAGTATTAAGAAGTTTCAGACAAATATAACATTAGTCACTATTTATTCACATAGTGGATCAATCAATATCTCAACTATTCTATTGTTTATGGTTAAGATGATTCGTGTAATTCAAACGGACTAATTTGAGATCTAAACTAAATTGTCTTACATGATGAGTGTTCAGGTACAACTCCGTGAATTTAATCAAGTTAGACATTAACACCGTTAGGTACCGGCTCAGTGGTCTATCGGTTAGGGCGTTCGAGCACAATACCGAAGGTCCTGGGTTCGAATCCTGCTGGGTGCAGGAGTCGTGGATGCGCACTGCTGAGGAGTCCCATACCAGGACGAAACGGCCGTCCAGTGCTTCCAGGTTTCTAATGGTGGTCTAACATTGATCGGTTCATGGTTTCAAAAATGTGTAACAAATATTCGTGTTTACACAGAAAAATTGAAGTAGATTATGTATTTATTGAACAAGTCGATGAGACAAGACATTATCATCATATAAATTGATATATTTAATAATTTGCATAAACAATTCATGAACAAAATAATACTTTATTAGCTCTGTGTGTATGAAGACAAATAAATCATAAAGATGTTGTATAATTTAAACTGTACTATACAATATATTATCGAATTACCTAACTAACTAAAACATACAATATCCATATGATAATGGTTGTGTGTGTTTTTTCTTTAAAAAAAATAATAACACAGTAGATAATAATAATTAGGTTTTTCTTTGCACTGTATCATAAATACCAAAGTTTAACAGTGCAGTTAGTCTACAAATAATTTGATTTCATTTTTTAAATTAATAAATCTTACTAACTTATTTAATGATGTAATATTGCAGTGTTATTATGATTTTTTCATTTTTTTTCATTTAAAACACAAAATTTTATTCATTATCATATTTATTACAAAATAAATGATTTGTTTTATTGATTCAATTTGTTCAAGCAATAAAATGACGTCAATGTACATACAGTAGGATGCAGAAGAAAGAATTGTTTCTTCTTTTTTTGTTGTTGTTGTCGGGTAGGGAAGAAAGCAAACATTTTTTTATTTTATTTTATTTTTAGGTTAACTTCATTTATCTATTAGGCATTGCATTACTCTTAACTACCTGCGCTAACATACACAGATAGATACATAATACTTTATTTAATTACCATATAATTTTCACTTAAAAATATCTTGGCTTATATTCTTTTTCTGTTCTTTTAAATAAAACAAATGATTTCTCTTTCTCTTTCTCTTTCTCTCTCTCTTAAGAATAAGCAACACATGGTTGAACATAAATATTGAATAGAATGAAATGATAGAATTGTAATCTAGCGCATACAACAATATCATTTATTCATCCGCCCATCTATCTATTTATCTACATGTCAAATAGAAAAGTAGAAAGATAATATCTTTTGTAGTAGATTGTTTTACACTAAGATTTCTTAACTCATAAATGTTGGACTTTATTTTGTTTATCACTCGAATAATGAAGATCATTTTAATTTAATTTTAGAAAGATAAATGGCAACATTTGTCAAGTGGTAGTTTTGTTGAACAATTTCATGTTTATTGGTAATTAAAACTGTGAATAACCTGATACATGACTATTTATTTAAACAAACAATTGAAGTACAGTAAATTATAGCGTATATGGTACAGGTAGTTTAAATTAGTGTACACTTTTGTATTATATAGCGAAATATTATAATGTATATATTTAACAAAAGAGTTAACTTCAATTTCTTTCGGTGTTCTTTTGATGAAAATTTATTCGTGGGCTATATATACATAATATTCGGTGAAATGTAAAATGTATTTCATTTCATGTTTTCTGCACTTATCTGTTAGTACAGTCTACAGAACATTATACATATTTATCCCTGGGATCGATTGTATTGAGAAATATCGAAATGCATAAATCTTACACTGACAATAGAAATTGTGTAAATATCAATGATAAAACTTGACTAAATAATTTAAAGTGAATTAAGGTTAAAATGTTTCAACGAAAAGTAGGAAATCTCATAGAAATAGGAAGAAAAGATGCATTCCTTACATTTCATAATATCATAAAGTACTTTTAATCAAAGAATACATCAATTCTTCAAAAAAAGAATTTACTATTTCATAAATTCAAGACACGTAACTAGATAATCATGTTATTTACTTGAATTGCAACAGTATTGCATCAAGGGAAAACTACATTTCCACTCTGAATATCACGTTCAAAGATATCACACTACTGTTTTACGGATTAAGGGTGCATTTTGAAACCATAAATCGATCAATGTCAGACCACCGTTAGAAACCTGGAAGCACTGGACGGCCGTTTCGTCCTGGTATGGGACTCATCAGCGGCAGTGCTCATCCACGTTTCCTGCACCCACCAGGATTCGAACCTAGGACCTTCGGTATTGTGAGCAAACACCTAACTTCTGGACCACTGAGCCGGTATCTAACCGTGTTAATGTCTAACTTGATCAATTCACGGAGTTGAGCAACCTCATACACAGCCTTCGGTAGTTACTGTCTACACCCGAACAGGTTGAACTTCACTGGTCACGAAATCCCACTAGAACTTGGAGAAGATTCCTCACGAAGCTAATTATTAGTGAGCATAAGTAATTATATTACGGGGTTGTGAAGATTGTTAGGTTACACATTTCGAAACCATATTTTGGATGACCAACTTTGCCTGAAAACATATGGTACAAAGGTGAGTCTTATCATTTAGCTGAATGCATTCCTAATGATAGTATCAATAAATTTTGTTGTTTGCACTAATATTTAAATAGTTGAATTACTGACGTGTTTCAGAAAGTAGCTTCTATATGAAATTAGTAAACAATTGAAACACTAATCTATGGTATTGTTGATATATTTTAAATTTACGGTACTTCTATTATAATAAAATATCTATTTCCATGAATTGACTATTGACTGGATAGAAATCAGGCAATTTCATAGATTTATCTGTTTATTTATTTCCAGACTACATTTTAATGTTGCCTTATGGAATTTCAAATATTCAAGCACGATAATATCTATTAATAATTGAAAAGTCATTAAATATGTGGAAGGTGAATAGTTTTGTTCCATCCAATGGATCAGAAAGTGAATTTCTTTTACAAAAAAAATAATATCTAGTAATTGTCTACTTATTGGATTTTTCAGTCATCGTTTATACAAAGACGGTTGATCTAATGCCATAAAGGGTATATGAAAAGTAAGCAAATATGTACCCAAATATGTGCGAGTATTTAGACTAGCAATTATTGTAAAACGATTAAAGCTTCCAAAACTAATTCACATTATGCTTGTTTCAGCTTCAAAATCTGCGTTAACTGTGCGACGTTTTCGATGTCTGAGTCTATGACAGGGATTTTGTCTATTTTACTTCATCGAATTTAAATATGACTATGAAAGATAACTGATAACAGAAGTTTACATTCATCTGATGTGTGACATCTTCAAAATAATAAATTTTTTCGCAGGAAAGTTGTTACTTAAAAATGGAGAAAAACAAACCACTATGTTACATATATATATATATATATATATATACATCTAACAAAAACTGCATACTTACTTTAATCCAAGGGTGTTGAAGACAGTCATTAACTGAAGATCTTTTTCTAAAAAAAATAATAAAGTTTCAAAAAAATGCAATTTACTACTAACATGAACATGCGTTTTTAGTGTATATTGAATAGTAGTTATACGTAGCTCGATAGTAAACATGAACGTAGAAATCATATAAGGCTTTAAGAGATATATCAACAACCAGAAAAATCTAACTATTTTATAAAATCATCGTCAATTACAAACGACTGTAACATCTATTTGATTGCTGAGTTCAGCTGTATGATCAAACCTCAGTAAAATCTATACAGAACATTCCAAACAAAAGTAGCAAAGATATCCTTGTGATCGATACTCCTATGATCATTACTATCATTGTTGTCTGCGAAAATTTACTCAATGAAGGCTTAGTTACAGTTTTTCTTCTTATAGCTGCTGTTACTATTATAACAAGTAGGAATTAGTCGACTAAGAAACAATCATGTCCGTATTCATAGATTATTTAGCTAAAATATAAAAACTTAGTCAGCTGAATGACCACAATTCTTACATTCTGTTCTGTTGATAAATTAATCAGTATTGTATTTTTGAAATTGCTAATAACTTATAATCAAACTTTTTAATTGGGTTGCACTAAGATAATGTCAGATTACAAAATACCAACCGATTTTGCTTATGGTCTGACAATTGGTAAACAGAAAAGAATTTATGAATAACATACTGTCATTTAAACATTTAACCGATTAACAATACATATATGCTGTTTTGACCTTCAGTTACATAAATATACATTTTTAAGATTTAACACACAAATAATAAAAAGTTATAAATGTGTTTTGTAGTTTTACTTAAATTATCTATTCATCATTGGATTTATTGGTTTCATTTTTATTCCTAGGCTTTCATAATTATTTTTATTTAAAGGTAATATGAACGAATGATTTATTTTGGTTCAGAATATTTTTAAGATAAGTGAGTAATAAATTTTAATTAGAAAGTCCTAGCTTTAAAGAAACGTATGTATTGTCATTGAAGATAAGAAGTTTTCTGGTCAATTTCTCAGTGGACAACGTAACATAGCTGTCATTAATTAGCAGATGATGAATAATAATCAATTCAAGATTGTTAAAGTTTGATTGAATAGAAATATTAATTTTTTTACAAACAAAACCATCGGAAAATGTAAACAGAGAGTTTATCATTTTCTGCCGTAGGTAATAAAATGTCTGGTATAGACCTATGTGAATATATTACTTCCTTAAAAGTTTGAATACTCTAAAACAAAGTTTGCGTGGGAGAATATAAATAAATGAAAACGGGTTATATATTAAGTGTATAATGATTTGAACAGATCATAAATGATTGTGAGAAAATAGTAATATTAAAGTGTATCTCGATAAAGCTATCCAAAAGATAAACACAAACACTATCAGATTTATTTCATGACAATTACAAATTACTTTATGGTCTGAATTGTCAGTCACAATTCCTAAAAAACCAAACAGTTTCGCGTTACATACTTGACTGATAACAAGTTTTTGAGGAATGCAAACAGAAGAAGGAGTATCCTAACAATCGTCTAAATATTTCGATAAATAATCTTTTAGAACCTCAATTCTACTGAGTTCAGAACATAACGCTTCATATAATTGTTATACACGTAAATGATCATAATTAATATCGAGAGCCAATCAGAAGTAACTAACCGAGTAGGTCACTTGATGACAATTAGAAATATCCTAAAGGACGAATATACATCATTGGTCAACAAATGGATTCATTGTTTAAGGGGGAGGGGTATATATACATGTATATATAAAGGAATATTTAAGTATGTGATTTGGTATACACATAGACTCTTCCACTCTTGCGTTCTAGTTGAAATAGTTATAGCTTTGGAGTTACTGCGTATCATGTTCCGACGTGGGGCACCGCCCAGCATAATAATAACAAGGTTGACTACTGAATTAAAATTAAGGAATACAATGCAAAGTATCTTTCCAAGTCTTGAGTTTTCAATTATGATGGCTTAGATGATATGAGTTATGATCATATCTACGCTGTATATTAAGAGACAATTTGAAAATTTGTTGTTTTTATATTTATGGTATGAAATCACAAACGAAACTCTCCAACTATCTTAAAGAAATGCAAGTATGGAGGTTCAGGAAGAAGATTGTACACATATTATTCACGTAAAATAAATGACAAAAAATAATGGATAGTTAGAATCTGTCAGGTACTGAATACACATGTTTTTTTATACTCTGTTTATAAAACTGGAAATTATCGATGTAAAATTTAGTGTAGATGTTTATATGTTTCAGTAACCAATCAATAAGTTGAGTTAGATGTTAAAGGAAGAACCTTACATTGCTTATTCAATCAATTAAAAGTTGACTGATTCGCTGTTAAAGTGAGACTAATTAAAATAATATTCTGTTTAGCATAGTAATACAGTAAAACAGGTCATTTTTAAGTGAATAATTCATCAAACGTTTTGAAGAAATTACGTCGCTGAAGATTTCTATTTCAGTAATATAAATGATTAGATGAATAAATGATTATTCCTCGGAACTAGTGGGCATTTATTAATCTCATCTAGTTCGAACGAGAAAAATAGCTTCGAAATATGAATTCTGGTGGTAAAATAAGAACTAAAGAAGTACAGAAAGATATGAGAAATGAAGACAAGAAATAGTATTGCTTTTAACATATTCAAATAATCAAAAGATGAACGTGGTCAATCCATTGAAAATCTCAAACAAGGATGGGATTTCAACGCACCAACTTTTGTTGCAATGAGAAGCGTGTTGTAAGATGGTGGAGATTCCCTTAACATATCGTACCAGTGGCTTTATACTTTTAATGGGGATAAACATATATGGCTGACATCTGCTTATGTAACATGGAAAGTCATCAAGTAAGGAGGAAAGGAATATGATACAGCAGAGACTACCCAAACTGTTCATGAGTGATCGATCAGAGTAGTAACCAATGTCATGTACGTCACGTCCTTCTTTAGTGCTGATCGCGTCCTAACTATCAGGTTGTAATATGGCCACTAGTCTAAGTGATATAACATCGCATGCACCATGGTGATTGAAGGTAATCAACAAGGGATTCTGCTTGACCTAGGTTTTGCGCTATTCGACACACATTCCGTCTAAATTACAGGTTCGCATGGCTGACAACCGCAAAATAGCACGAGATTTGAGTCAAGCAGAGATTACTACCAACTACAGTATATAAACTATTAAAAAAGTAGATAATTAATAGAAAAGCTTAATCTACATGACTAAAATGGGTTCAGGAGCGAAGAATAGTGAATAGAAGATTACTAGGTAGATAAAGCAGTAGCTGAAACATTTATTTTTAACTGTCTCATTCTAACTGAAAAAGCAAACTACACGAAATCGTACAGGAAAAATCAATTTTAAACACAAGCTACATGTTCTAACTACATCCTCACGCAAATAGTATCAATTCATCATCTTAGTAATGCAGCTGACGATAATAATTTTGAGGCTGGAATCCTGAGAGGAGCAGGAGTCGTGGATGCGCACTGCCGCTGATGAGTCCCATACCAGGACGAAACGGCCGTCCAGTGCTTCCAGGTTTCTAATGGTGGTCTAACAATGATTGATTGATGATTTCAAAAGATAATAATTTTGTTTAATACCATTTTAGTACTGTAAGTAATAAAAAATTTGCTCACGAATAAAGTATTTGTATAGTATTTGAGGTATTGCTTGTTGGAAGGAACAATCAATTATATTGCTTCGTATTTATCAACAGTAAAGTAGCTGGAGATATATTTTGATTACAGTAACATCTATTTTAGTTAATTTTCTATTTTTCTATGATGTATCGTATGTTTTTTATTCATCTGTTAAACGGTGTGACAGTTTGAACTGGTAAAGGGATTATGCTTGATAGTTTGTTAACTGAGGAAAAGTTTCAGTATATATAAAGATATATATATATATATATATATATATATATATACATCGGTAGCAATTAAGATAATTAGTGACATTTCAATAACAAGCAACAATCAGTGAAACACATACATATCTACTTTTACACACACACATACGCAAATAGACATTCTTTCGTGGAATATCTTGATTATAAATATTATTATTATTATTATCCCTTTTTATAATAACGAATGGAATGTGTTTAACATGACCTTCAGTCTGAATTCAATCAATAAATTATTTCTTTCGCCTTGATTTTGTTCACTATTAGAAAAATGTGCTATTCAGGTATAAAATGAATCAATTTAACAAATGCATACATGAACGTAATTACATTTGCGAATGGGATAGACTGGCTATGTACAACAGAGTATTTGCATTGTGGTATGTATAAACATGTCTATGGATATATATATATATATATATATATAGACTAGTGTATGTTTATTCTACTAATAGTCTGACAAAAAAGTGATTGAGTAAGATATAGGTTAATGTAGAAAGCAAATATTATAATGCGAAATAGTCTATGTCAATCAATTTATTGGATAAATTAGACTTGAACAATGATAATAACGTAATAGTATGAGATAACAACTAATGTGTTTATTCATCTATGATAAATAAACTGTATATAAAACAAATACATATATGAATATTTTTACATTGAATAGTAGTACATTTTAGATAGTTTAAAAAAAAATATGGCGAAATTTATACTTAAAAAAATTAATTAAAAGTAGAACAATTCAAGCAATTTTGAATGAGATGAAATTGGAAGTTTAAAGGATTCAATTGATAAAAAAAACATGTTCAATTCAATTGTTATCTGTTTCCAATTTTATTCAGCTTATTTAAGTTGCTTCATACAACAGGGAAGGTTGGAAGAATAAAAAATGATAAAGATTTGGATAAAACTTAGAAGAAGAAGAGGAATATTAACAGTAAATAAATATAGTTTGTCACGTCAGTTTACGATGTAGTAATTCAAAAGATGTAATAAATGGGAAAAACAACCTTTCAGTAAATACACACCTCATAAAGGTCAATTATTTGATGTAGAAAGCATAAGTTTATGATTTGCTAAAACCTAATAATAATACTTTACTTCACCAAACACATACACACACACCGACCCACCCACTATGATACTTAACTATGGTTTCACCAAAAAAAAATTCGAATAACTTGCAATTAAAATAGTTTTAATTGATAAGACTAAATTTATTCTGAATTCTCTTAAAAAAAGACTACTTTTAAACTTTAAACAAGAAATACTTTAGTTTTACAATAGGTGACGTCTTTGAAACAAAAGAATAACTAGACCACAACAACAAAACAAATAAAAGCTAGTCAATATATATATTGTTGCATTAATTTACATCTTCCTCAGATTAACTGGATAAGATAATTTTCAAATTGAGTAGATTTATTCGAAAGTATAATCACAGTAATAATGATGTGGAAACTAATCACAGTAAATTAAATAATATTTCAATGGTGTTATGCGCATAAATACTGTCATAGAATTGTTATTAACGGAATATACTCATTGAGACGTAAAACAAGAAAGATTGGTTCAATGAAGAGCTCTTTTTCCCATAAAAGTTCATTATCAAAGTTGTACATTCGTAAATATACACTTTATTTCACATGGTGATAATTACAAGAATAGGAAGTTTACTAAACATGGCACTAGTAGTAAGGTAAATTAAATAAGAGTATAAAATGTTATTTTGATTGAGCGAATTAATAGTAATAATAATGTTTTTATTGTTGAGAGCTTGATTATATATCATGAAGATTGATAAAGAAATCATAATCGGAAAGGGAAGAGGTTCAGAATGACAAGATAGAAATTTCACATTGAGATAGAGGCAGAAACAAATCAGTTGGGAGTATAAGGGTCTATAGAGAAGAAGATAGAAGGGAAGCAGATAGCTATGAGAGAAGAAGCAGTTGTACCAGTTTCTTCTGTACACATAATTCTAGTTTTGCCAGGTGTATCGTAATTGTTTTGGCATTGCTAAGAAGACGGCAACCAATCGCTTTTGGCAGCCTTCAACTTACTTTAATGACTTTGGACGTAGAGCCCGTGTTTGACTGAATGACCTGAGTTTACAAGATGTTCGATTATCGAGCTAATGGACCCAGTTCCATCTCTTTTCAACAAAGCCATATGATGCTCTCAGAATTCCTTGGATAAAATGCGCATCGAACGACCTACATATATAACTCCACATGAACAGGCAAATTGATAAACATTCATCGAATCGATTAAATGCGATAATTTATCCTTTAGATTATTGTTGAACATTGGTAGGCTCGAGGAGACGAGCCGTAAATTTCCTTCAAAGAACGATTCGTCGAGAGAGTCTGAAAATTTGCCTAAACAGTAGGGCTGTAGCTAAATCACTCTTGAAATAGATGTTCATATGGATAGTTTTCTTTTCCAACGGAAGATATTTATGCTTTAGGAGGTCAAGATTTTATGTGCTAAATAAAAACCATTTCTGATTAGTAGTTCCTTAAGAAGGTTCAGGTCGTTATAATATGACCTTAGGACTACAAATTCATCGTATTCGTATTGCCAGATAGATAATTAAGTTTAGCGTACGACTAATGGGGACCCAACAGTCAGTCAGTTACAACGTGGAACTATTTAAGTACATACATCAATTCAAGTTTCCATACCACATCAGCACAGATATGCAATTGTCAACTCAAATCCCATAGCGGTAGAGGTAGTAAAAGTTTTAGCAGTGATCAAAAAGATTATTGATCGAGTATATCGTTCGAGATGTATATCCCAGAGGAAACAATTAAAAAAAGAGGAAAAAATGGGGCACCAGCGGTAAAAGCGTGATAGCTGATGTAATAATGCTTTCGCGGATTAAACAGGAATCGTTGTCGCTAAAATAACTGAAGTTTATTTTGTTTATATCAACAGTGAATAAACAGGAGAAAAATTAGAACAACATTGTTCTCAACTAGATTGTCATTAGGGTTACCCTAATACTCATGAATATTTATACCACAATATCAAAACAATCAAGGCAATTTATAAATCAATGATAACAATGAAATAATTTATATAACTACACATAATAGGATCAATAGTACAAATTGACAAGTGCATTATTAATGGTAAGAATGATAAAAGTTCAATATAAGCAGTAGGTAAAATTGATAATCACAAACATTAAAATTACGTTATAAGAAGTATGTAAATAATTAGATAGTGAAGAATATAAACCGGGAAAGATGAAAAATGACAAACAAATAGAAGATATGAAAAATAAGTCGTTTATTCAGTCGTATCCGGCCAAGGAAAAGATAAGAGTGTCATCAATTTCTTCTAGACACAAAAACAAGGTCATAGGTTCGGATTTCAGTAGCTTCTGCTACTTGTAGGAGATGAGGTCGAACCCCATTGAGAAATGACAAAGGCATAAAATCGATCATTTGGGATGATTTAGTTCTATCGGCCATATGACCACTATCGACTGGATGTGCCAAGATAAATTTACGTATTTTCTTTATCTGGTCCTTTCCGAACAACGCAAGGAGACGTCTACTCATTTGCTGGTCAAGTTGCTCGGTTGTAGATCCAATATATCTATCTTTACAGGATCAGTCAAATTTGAGGATGCAAACCGAAGAGGTAAATTCGGGGAGCTTATCCCTTTGTTTGAGCATATATGACTGGTCTACTAGAAAATGCCACTACAAAATTAACTGTGCAGAAAGTCATACTAACTGTCCTCACTAATCTATCATGCAGGACATTACTAGTCATATTCCCGTTGAATTGCAGTTTTAGAAATATAGGTTTTTAACGAACGGTCAATATCCCCAAATTATTTTTTACCTTTATGCACGCACTTATTCCGACCACTTATTTAGTTGATTAACAACACACCACTCATTCAACCAGTGAGCTAAAACGAAGAACCTCGTACGTACGTACATTAGTTCAAGTTGCCATACCGCATTAGCACAGAGATTCAATTGTCCCTTCAAATCCCATAGTAGTTGAGGTAGTAGAAGTATCAGCAGTAATCAGAGAGATTAGGGTTCGACAATATCATTCAAGAAGTAGAACCTAGTGAAATAAACTTAAAAGAAAAGATAAAGGTGATGGGGAATTCAGGTTAGGATTTGAGACAACACAAGGTGTGGATGCACCCGCACCATTGCAAACGATTTTGAGCCATGTCATTCAGGGTCTCTCATCTCACGGACCCCAACCAGGTAGTCTACATCTACCAACATGACTCAGTCCACTTGTTAGTGACTTCATGGATTTCTGCCATGTTTTGGTCTGGCCACCACTAGCTTTCGTCCAACCTACTCCTACATCACAAAACATAGCTCGTCAAGGCAGTCGGTGGTTAGGCATACACAACACATGTCCCAACCACCTCAACTTATAGAGTTTCAATAACTCATCTATTGATCTGCCATTCCCACTTAGCACCCGTTTCCTAACAACTGCATTGCTTAGTTGATTGTCCTAAGATACACGAGCAATGCTTTGGAGACATCTATGATCGAATAACAGTAACTTATTAACATAATCGCTTCTTGCTGGCCATTTTTCACACCCATAAAGTAGGACGGATCGAACTGCTGTGCGGTACACTTGTCCTTTGGTTAGCAGACGGATATCTCGCCTACTCTATAAGTGACGCAAGTTGTCGAATTCCGGTCGATCTTTTTGTATCCATGCTGATGAGACTCCCGAGAAAAGTGAAATGGTCAACACGCTCAACCACTACACCTCCTATCACTAGTTCAGGTGCCGATGCAACCCAGTCTTGAAGCAATATTTTGCATTTCGACGAGGAGAATCGCATCAAGAACATGCTTGCACACCCCTGCCTTTATCCGGTTTATTTATAATCAAGGTTTCATGTTTTCTTGGTTTGTTAAAGGATTGTGATGGTGCTTAGTCGGTAGATAATTAGAGATATACTTACTATTACCGTATTTTTGAGAGCTAACAAATAATGTGATCTTAAACCTAGCTGACTGTTTCAATGAGGTTGGGACCAAATCAGTTAAAGCCTCTAATTACACTACCTTTAATTCAGCGCTGATTACATTTATGATAGTAGGTTTTTTTGACACCGCTGTAGAAGATTCCTTTCTAAGTCATTGATATCTATTTTCAATACGTTTATTTGTTTAGACCCATATATTTATAGTGTTTATGAATTACGATCGACTTTATTACAACTCAAAGAATTTGATACGTTTTAAGATAAAAGATCTTTAGCAAATTTTAAAATCGTTTCGGGCTTTGATGAAACGTGCATCAAACTTCAGGTCTAATTGAGTGCATAAAATGCATTAGAATCCATGTATGTGATTTCAAAAGGTTCCCCTGATGAAAATTCAGAGAAAAATTACAAGATGATATGAATGAAAAAAGTAAAATCACCAATAGGAAGATACTGTTTGTCTTTTGTTCACATAAAGTCAATTGAATAAACCATTGTATATGTATGTAATACTATGAAGAATGGTAGTTTAGAGATTCAAGCATTTGGTTTTATAATATCGCATTAAAGGTTTGTATTTCGATCCAATTACTTTAGTAAATGAAAAAAAATTAGTACCATCACTGGGACTTACATACACTCTGACTTAGAGTGAAATAAAAAAAATAAGCTACATACTTTCCATATAACAAACATATATAACAAAATTACCTGGGATTTTTCACCAACAGCTTCTGAATGAAATCTTTAGCTAGATCACTAACATTTTGTATTTCCTCTCTTGAATAATCTACAATACAATCGAGAATATTTTGAAATGTTTCAAGTTGTGTATCTCCAGCAAATGGTGAAATGCCAGTCAATCTGTAAAAAAAAACGATGAAAAGAGGATAAATAAGTGTGTAACGTTAGCAGTGCCAAATAAATGACTGGGATAACAAATAGTGTTAAATGATCCAACAAGAGATGAAAACATCCTTATTTTTCCAACGCCGCCAAAATACATGGTCGGAAAATATGATAAAAGATCGATCATAACTCTACGATGAATGGTCACATTTGTTGAAGCATTGATTAGACAACAGTTTAACTCCCATACCACGATCATGTGTTCAGGAATAATATCTACTTAAACTAAGTCTATCCTGACAAAACAAACCTATTATTCAAAGTATAGTGATGCATATTTTTTTCTTATTGTCTTTGTTTTGCGTCGTTTTCAGACTTGCTAAGTCTGGCTTTTGTTTTTCAGATATAAATATGTGTTTAGAATATTCTAAATGCGCTGTGGTCATGTGTTGTAACATAATTCTAATAAATTCATATTTTAACCATCTTTTCTAACATTATCAAAGGGACTAACTCATATGAATATTCGTCTAAAACTTAAACAAACAATTTATTATCAATTGGCCTTCTTGGATAAATAATCATATTTGAGTAATTTCGACATTTCCTTCAGAAAACTGGTCTAATCTACGTTAGAGTAATAATCAAAACTAAAAATATCAAAAAAAACCCACAAATACACCAAGAACCAATAAGTAATATTTCTGAAATGAAAAAAATAAACAATAATGCACACAAATGATGTGACCATTTATACACAACAACTGACAGAGAAAATAAAAAAGAAATCATAATGTGACAGAGTAATACAAAAAAAAATAGCTGATAAAATGCATCATATGACTTTTTAAAAAAAGAGAAAGGCAATGGAAATACACTAATGGATAATGAATCCCGATGGATATATAGAAGCATGTAATGCACCATATGTAAAATCTGCATACTTTTTCAATTCCAAAGTAAATATTTTATTACTGTTGTTAAGAATTCCGTTTTTTTTTTTGAAAGGCAATAAACGTTAGAAATATATCTTGTGCACAAACAAGATGATCATATTTACACATTTTAAAATAAATCAGTTAAGAAAAAGTTACTGTTCTTTATAGTAAGTTATCCATCATGCTGAACATTTTTAAATATTCTTCAGGAAATGAAATTCTATGAGAACCAATAGGTAATTGACAAAAAATATTCATCGTATATATCACCCACTTGAATAAAGTAATGATTAAGATTTAAATTAATACTGTAATATAACTCTCTAGATTAACTTTCAAATGAATTACATACAGAAAATGAATGAACATAAAGGTAATTAGAAAAATCTAGTTGAAGCCAATAACAGTGAGTAATTTTACGTATATTAAACAATTCGATAGGATTAGTAATTCAATATAGGATCGCTGACGGACAACGTAACAGTATCTTTGGATGTAAGGGAGCCTCGACATATCCCTCATAAACGTCTGCAGAAGCCCAGAAACGCCAGGAAAAATCTTAACCAAACAGCATTGAATGGAACTATTGCAAAACCGTCCGGTTTCTTTAGTTAATATGATCTTCGAACATTAAAGAGGCATAATGTCATTAGTAACTACTAACACCTTTATTTTTCTGTACGTAAACTAATCTTGGAGTAGAGAGTTCTCCTGTTCAAGTCACCGAAGAGAAAAAATATGACGATTATTAGAAGCAGATACGAATGCAAATCTTGTGTTCATTTAGAAGATTTATCAATAAAATGACAACAATCGATAGAAACATGATAATTAGGATTATTACAACTCTCATATTAAGTTACAGTGTCTAAATTTCAAATGGCATAAACTATTACAATTACGATGTAGACAGAGTTGATTTCTCGGAAGAGAAACAGCAGAAAAAGATAAATATCTAAATATCCAAATAGTTTATAACTTTATTTATTTAATTAAACACATAATGATTGATACAAAAAGGCACCTAAATATTTATGCACCATACAAATCATTGAGTTTACATACGAGCTGGTTAATTGTCAGAGTACCGAAATCAAAACAGGCTGTATTCTCGGAGCAACACTCCGATCCTTTGGTCCATATGTATAATGAACATAGCAGTGGAGCAACGTTACAACATACATCCCAATGGCAGTCAGTTACTAAAAATACGTTATTACGTCAATTTTCCCACAGCATCCTCTGGCTTATGTAAACCATTGGTTTGGAATCAGGGCTTTCCAACTTCTATAGTTGAATCCTCCATACCCACTAACCTGGTTTAAGTGCTAGGTATTCGCTTTTCGTCATCATAAATTCGTAATAAACACCGATGCCACGAGAAGGTAGTGAGTAGGATTTCCTTGGCAGTGGTTTTACACGCATGGTCATAGGAGTGCATCTAGAGAGGAGAGGTTTCTTCTCACTTTCAAACGCACTAGGATATATATATATATAATAGTGAGATTAGTTCATTGCTAAATGACTTATAGAACAAAGGGTTCGTGTCCATTGCAGAAGAGTGTATAAATACTAAAGACGATATTTGATTCTCAGCACCTACTAAAGTATGGTGTAAAAACTTCTAATCACACACCAGCTTTTGAGAACCCTTCCAAAAGCTCAAGAAAACTACATTTCAATACAAAACTTGGTGCAGCCATATAATAAATAAAACTACTGACAGTGCAACTAGGTCAAAAAATTACATAATAACTGTACAAATTAAGGTCATGAAATTTAGAGCATTTTGATCATATTGGTGTGCTACATCTTCAAATTATAACCGATTTCTGGCAGTGTACTTGTTCCAACTCTGTTTTATTGCTAAAAGCCCCAAGAAATCAGACTATTCAGCAATATATTGGTTTCCTGTGTTGCCAATATCTTGTGTACAAGTGATCTACCTGACTTTACTCAGCAATCATTTGAATAGTGAATTGGGTATTGTAAAACTCAAGAAGTCAGATAATTCAATATTTTTGTCTATCGAAAAATAGGTTAACTGTCATAGTGACGTTTAATTTACCTCAGTCTTCACAATCCTCACTAAAATGCCCAATCCACTTAAAAGTAGCTATTTTCTCCAGTTAATTATCTCCATACAATTTTTTGAAATCTAATTGAATTCCTGGGAGTTTTTATTGAATTTAACATAGACAGCTTAGCCCGTCCATTTATTAGCCAGTGTGCATGTTTATATTTTAAGAGCAGTCATTTATAGAAAATAATGACAAGATATATATATATACATATATATATGTACTTTAGAAAACTTAGGTTATTGAGGCTTAATCCGAAAATAGTTTATGCATGCAGTGAAAGACACGTTTTAATACATTTTACACAACCAGCTCTCCATCTATATATATATATATATATATATATATATATATATATATATATATCTGTTAATTGATATTCTCGAAATAATAACAGGTGCTGTGATGATATCGGGGACATAAAATTCCTGAGGATGAAAACGAAAAAAAACGGTAATTAACTTAGAAATAAATAAACATGAAAAATGCACACTTCATTTATTTGGTCATTGGTTCTTTGTGAAAACACACAAATGATAGATTTTTTAAAGTTTTTAAACAAAGAAAAATTTTAAATCTGCCAGGTTTTCAGTTAAAAATAATTAGACTTATACAAAAATAAATCAATGAATAGACATAACAATCGTAATGAAAATACAGTTAACAGTATTGATACACAAGATTATCGTCAACCGTAGTGATCTACTACTAATCCGACTAGTAATTAAAGGAAAATGATGAATATTTGAATAAAGCGTTATTCATCATGACTACAGCTGCGTGTCATTCATTGGATTCAAGAACTGTTTGTTAGTATGTGATAGAAACTATAAACATATTAAATTGATATTTACAAGCTATTCAATTAAACAGTAATCGTGTGTGGCACTAATGATAAATTTCGAGTCATAGTAAATAGTAAGTCACTTGAGATTGCAAATGTGGAGCAGTAGATTTTAACTCAAAGGTCTAGAAAGTATTGTTTTCCGCGATGCTTTGGGGTCGTGTTGAATAACAAAAATTATGGTCGAAACAGGTGTCCAGAGCTCCAGGGCTATCACTGGATTCTCAAATAATATTAATCTGTGACAAAACAATCTTTGGATCATTAATAATTATAAATGAGTAATGTGAATAAAGAAGTGGACAGTAGGGGAAAGAATTTATTTCAATAGGTGTAAAGAAGAACACGAGTTTGAATTAACATAATTTACCTTTCATACCCGGGAATACAATGTGTGTTAATTAATTACACAAGAGAAAATAGTTAAAAAAATTTATTTTTGAAATAATGACAGGCCAATAAATACACAATGAGGATGGACAAATAAGGAAGATTTTCTCAGGAATAACATTAAACAACAATGATGTAATAAACATGTCAAATAATGAACCATTAATTTCTTAAAACTAGTTGAATATTATTATCAGTATATTTCACGATAAAACAAATTACCAACTCTGTAGTGATAATAATACGGAACTCATTCAACAGATACTCTCCTATGAGCTGTTATTCAAGTGCGAGAATTAATGATACAACTCAGTTGCATAAACCGAAGTAGATAGAAATCGGTTTGAACCTGTAAGCGAATGGTAAAATGAGAAACGCCTAAACCATTAAGCCACCGATTACAGTGGCTAAGTTTCATTACTCTAAAAAAACAAGCTACTAACCGTCCAAACTACGGTTACCTGACAGATGGGAGATATGTTGGCAACACAGTATGATTTAGGTACATTGATTTGTCTCATTGAGAAATATAATTCGATTATAGAAATAAAAGTTTATATATTACGAAAATAATATTTTGAGAAAAAAACATTACAGAATAAGAAAACCGGCAGTAAAAATATGATAAAAACCGTATATATATATATATATATATATATACGTGAGACTTATCGATTAGCTATACGAAGAAATAAGCTAAGAAAGTGAATTGAATGTGACATTAAACATACATACATACATACATACATACATACATACATACATTATTTTAACCGATATTTCTTAGTGTACTGTAAAATATTTTATCAACCAATATCTTTGCAACATGTCTATAAAGTATTTATCTTTCCGACTATAGGCATACATATTCAGTAATTTAAAATATGGAAGTTTTGGGTTTTGTGATATTGATGTACTCCTCGGTTGTCAAAATAATGAACAGAATGGTGATCGATAGATAATATGCAATAATACAATTTTACCGATTGACAAAGAAGTGGGAAAATGTATCATTGCTTTTAGCCCCGAATTAAAGTGTTATGATGAGACAAGGTATGAATATGATTCTTCCTCTACTAAAATGAGGCACCAATGTGTATAATATTAAACGTGGAAGAAAATATGATTCGAAGTTATCTGAAAAGTATGAGACTAGAAGATAGGTTTGTTAGGTCACGAATACGCTAAAGAACTTATGAACTGAATAAGGCTTCATTCTCATCAAACATAGAATCAGTTCATAATATCACCGAACGTTGGTTCAAATCATGCTAGTAGGCGCGGACAACCTAATTATGGTTCTCACAATAACAGCAATCCGTGGTTAGAGGCTTTGGATGACATGGCTCAGAATTGTTTACAATGGTTAATACATATTCGCTCTTCATCTTGAGCCCCAGTATCCGTTTATACATACTTTCTCACTTTGTTTCTTCGAAGCATATTCCCAATGTTTAGTCCTATTTAATTCCATTGTTAAATCATTTCGATCGCTTTTTCTATTATTTTGTTGATTTCATTTTCTTGCACTAATATGGCTTGGAAATTTGAGCTAATACATATACGTCAAGCTCTACGTTGATGATAATTGACTGAATGACTAAACACAAACTGGTATTATGAACAGTTATTTGTTACTTAAGACACTTGGGTGTGAACCACCGGATAAAATATTTGTCTTAATTATTGTAGAATGTCCTCCAAGATGAGAACAAGAATCCTTCGTTCTGTTCTTCTAATCTAAGTGTTACAACAAATACAACTCACCTGGTTAATACAGTGAGAAGTAACATGAAGTGGAAGTATTTACTTTTAACTATCTCTCAGTGAGAAATTTTTCGGATACAAGATCATTATAGCGATTATATATATGTTTTTCAATGAGTCACCTAGTCTAAAGTTAATTATGCAAGTTAATTCATGATTATTAGAGCAGTCATAGTAAAATCCTGTTTTCATAAGTTGAAAGAACAAAACAAAAAGGATTTTTATTTTGATCACAGATAACATTTCATGACAATTGGCACCACAACGTTGATATGATTTTGATAGTGACACTGCACGTCGTCTGCTTATTAGTGGAATGAGTGTTGATAACTTGAAATTTTTCAAAATAATTAATACTTAAACAACTTACACAGCTTACTACGTTTTGCCAAGGCTATCGCTAATAAAAGATTGAAATTGAACTTATAAAACCAAAATGAAACAGCTGTAAATACAATAATACTACACCAGTTTCTCCTATTTTTTTTCGTCATAAAATTGCGTAATACCATATTTTTCTGTTTTCAATCGTAAATCCAATTTCTTCATTCTTAAGTCATTTCTTGAGTTTTATTCTGTCAATCTATCCAACTTTAAGGTTGTTATTACTGAATTAGATATCAGTTTTAGTTTTTTGGTCAACTTGTCGTCAAACACTACAAAATGTTTCTTTTGAAATTTTTCACATCATTTAACATAGTGTATTTGTATAATTCTATCATATAGTTTAACATGATTTGACTAATTTTTATTAATACAACTTAAAGTATGTACATCAATTTCAAATAATTGATATTACTTTTTTTTTCTCAAGTAAAAAGCAGTTAAAGAGAAATCATGAAACAAAATGAATCCATTTTATTTTGTTTCTTGTTTTTCGTTTTTTGATAATAAAAAAAAAAACTCACTGTGGATTTGCACCTAAAAAAACGATTATAACTATTACGTAATTGCAACAAAACTTTCAATTTCACAACATTTCGTCTGGTATTTGGACATGTGAGATGTAATAATTTAAATTTAATCGGATAATAGCAGTCATCATCAGCAACTTTAAGTTCAACAATAAGTGCAATATCATTCTCGATGAATTAACTAAGATAATAAGAAACTTCATTGAAAGATGTTTTAGTATGTGCGGTAATAAGGTTTTATATACTAGTCTCAGCAATCTCACTTAAACTTATTGAAATTCTAAGAGTATTTAAAACAAATGTTTGCAAGATTCATATGATAAAATGAGATAAAATTGCATTGTGAGAAAAATTTATTAAGTTCACTTACAGAAACCATAATATTGATATTCTAATGCGTGACATAATAAAAATATTTAATGAATTGAAAAAAATACATCGAGAAATTTGTGTAAACAATAAAACGACTGAGCAATATCAGTACTAAGGCTGATGATTCCAAACGACTCATATCAATAGATAGTCTGTACAGAATTCAGGTAAATCTGATTAATGAATGTTAAAAAAGGATTCACAAATAACTACTTATAAAGTACAATTATTTATCTAAATTTATTCACATAAGTAATTATTTCTTATCTGCAGGTTCCTGTCAGTATTATAAATAGCTGCTTTATGCTTAATATTATTATTATTAATATTACGTATATATATATATATATATATATATATATATATATATACGTAAACAGCTTGCTAAGATAGATGATAAGAAATTACCTATATCTTGTGATTATTGATAATGTTACCATAAAATTGTTTAAAGGTGAATGTAAGTTTTCTGTTTCGAGCATAGAAAATAGTATTTGTAATTTACACATAAACATTCTACCGGTAAACATATATTGAAGAAAATAAGTTTGATAATAATTTTTGACAGTTTAACTGTATTATTTGAACATTAACATTTATGCCAACAATATCATGAATATCAAGATAAACATTAAGACCACATGTGATATTAACTTACAGAACTCATAAAATAAATATACAATTAAAATTTTTTTGGCTACAATTGTAATATCATTCTATTTATCTAACTATGAATTTAACATGTCATACTGTGAAACAATACAAACTGAAATTGAACTCTAGTGAGAAATACATTAATCGGAGAGTTGCTAAAATAAAGAAACATAGATAGTGGATATGAAATATTAGAAAAAATATCTCTTTTACTTAGAACAAGCTAGAAGGTAAATTCTATAAAGTGACAAGTGCCCAAAACAAAAATCAACTACAGCTACCAAAAATAATTGAATATTCTTATTGTTTTTTTATTTTTACAGTAGAAATCCCTTGTTTTAATGACGCTTTTAAAAACGTGAATTTGTTCATCAGATATCTGTCGATAAATGATATAGGTTTTGCACAACAAACAACCAGGAGTATCTATCTATAAATAGTTTTACTTTCTCAAACGTGACTGATACGTTACATAACAAGGATGCACTTTTCAACACTGAGATAATGTTATTAATGAGATATTGCATAGTTTGTCTCGACATACATTCCGCTGTCGCTCACTCACTCGCTCGGTCAGTCTCTCGATATATATTGAGTATAACATTGAATTTTATCAAAAACATGCAAATATTCCAGTATCATTACAGTCATTAGTTTTGAAAACACGAAAATTAAAAAAAAACGAAATGAAAGCTGAATAGAAAAGTGTAAACCATAAAATTTGCGTCACAATAACAGTAAAAGTGAGTATATCTAAAGATTACAGTCAGTGGAATAATACAATTTAAACAGATTTAAGTAAAGCAAAATAAAACTGTAGAATATGTTCAATTGATTGTAGTTTATCTCTGTTTCAGTTACATACAAGCATGTACAAGTTTTATTGAACATATTACAAAAACTATGAGCCATTAAGGATAAAACAGTTTATTATATGAATTTCTTACATGCGTTCACCTACTTGAAAAACAAGCATATTCACACAAGTGATCTACCATCTAATCACATAATACACTGTACCATTACTCAAAATTTTTCAAAAAATTTACAAGCGAATCTATCAAACCAAACTCTCCTATGTAATGAAGTAACTATGAATACCAGAAATTGTTAAAAGTTTTAAACAAAGCAGTGTACGACAGTACAAAAACTATCTCCACTTCCTGATAAGAATAATCTAGCAATCAACGAACAAGCAAACAAACAAATGAAACAACTTACAAAATATAAGTTAATACCCCAACGGCCCACATATCTGTTGCAAAGGTTATCGGATCGTAATTGACAATTTCTGGAGCTGTTCAGAATATGCAAAATAAAAGAAGAGAAAGAAACTAATGATAATGAATAACTTACGAAAAAAAAACAACTCATCACTTCAACAATCTCCACAATCCTATATAATGAAAGTAACCTACAAAACTGAATTGATGAGATATTACGTTGACGGTAGTAAAATAAATATTTTACTAATTAGCGTTTATTAGTAATGTAGTAATTATTTTATTGTCCCATAAACAAAATAAAATGACAGTCGATAGTATGAGTTAATCATAATAATACAACGAAACAAAATTATTATTTAGAAAGTGAGTTTGTATAATCGATTGGTCAAATCATTGTACAATATATATATATAAGTCAGTCAGTCAGATGCAACGTAGAACTTCGTACGTAAGTACATCAGTTCATGTTGCCATACCACATCAGCACAGAGATATAATTGTCAATTCAAATCCGATAGTAGAAGAGGTAGTAAAGGTATTAGAAGTAATCGGAGAGGTTAGGATTAGAAGATACTATTCAAGAAATATGATTCAGTGAGAAAAGTTTAGAAAGTCAAAGCTAGAGGTGTTGAAGAATCCAAAAGATTAGGATTTGAGAGAACACAAAGAATAAATACACCAGCGCCATTGCAAACGATTTTGAGCCATGTCATTCAAGGTCTCTAACCATTGATTATTATCATCTCGCGGACCCCAACCAGGTAGTCGACAATTACCGACATGGCTCAGTCCACTCGTCAATGACTTCATGGATTTCTGCCATGTTTTCGTCTGGCCGCCCCTAACTTTCTTCCAACCTATTCCTACACTACAAAACGAAGTTCGTCGAGGCAGTCGATGGTTCGGCATACGCAAGACATGTCCCAACCACCTCAACTGATGAAGTTTCACCACTTCATCGATTGATCTGCCATCCTTGCCTAGTACTCGTTTCCTAACGACAGCATTGCTTACTCGGTTGTCCCACGGTATACGAGCAATGCTTCGAAGACACCTATGATCGAAAACCAGTAACCTACGAATATCTTCTACTCTCACTGGCCATGTTTCACAGCCATATAGGAGAACGGAGCGAACTGCTGCACAGTACACTGGTCCTTTGATTAGAGAACGGATATCACGCCTACGTCATAAGTGACGCAGGTTGGTAAAAGCCGATCGAGCCTTCTGTATCCGAGCTGAGATTTCGTCAGTCATCAGGCCATCGGCACTGATGATATATATATATATATATATATATATATATATATATATATATATTACGATCTAAAACGCAAGACATCATAGCAATAACAAAATTATGTTTAGATGAGGTAAATTATCACAAATTAAAATATTTAATTACGTTTAAGTTAGTCAACTTCGTAAAAGTTCAATAAGTAGATATAAAAAATCCTAAGTTGGAAAGTAACGGTTAAAATTGACGTAGACTAAAATAATATCAGTCTAGAACATTGGGCATTCCAAGTTACTACGAGGGATGCAATCAACTAAATAAAATAATGTTTTAAAATGTTCAAGCGTTTCAAAAGTACTCAATATGTGCATGAAACAAATGTCTTCGTTGAATCCAATTTATTTCCAAATCGCTTACTAGAAGTTTACTTAGTTCCATTTTCACTAATCGGTTTAATAAGAACGTTCCTAAAATCCGCAGCTTTATTAAACTAGATATCTTTTAAGTTTGTCTTTAATCAAGATAACAAAGATAGAATGGCCAGCTAAAACTGCACGCAATCTCAAAACTATTCATTTCAAACCAGAAGATGCTGGACCTAGACAACGCTAAATAAAACAGAAATTGATTGCGTTATAATCTGCGACCGATTATTTATTTATAGTAATTATTAAGCAAACTCTGCATTCTCATCACTAGTGCATGAACAAATGCCAGTTTATCTTTACAATCCCATTTTTATAATAAAACATGTACCTAGTGAAGAAATACTTCCTATTCATGTATTATTGATCAACAACGAATATGTTGACAAGGTGCATGTGTCCCATGCGAATAATAACACTAATAATAATAATAAACATGTGAACAGTGAATTTACACAGATGGAATAATCGATCTATATAAGAATGTGAATCTTTAGGTACATGTATGTACGCAGTAATTTTGTGTATATTTATGTCAACTGGCAAAAGAAGTGTGTCTATATGTAAATGGACAATTAATTACATAAAATTAAGAATTTTACAATTTCGTCTTAAATAAACAGAACATTATTCTATTGGGGCTTATTTTATGAGTAAGACAAGAAAATACGTAGAAAAACAAATAATTTCAGAACAGAAGTACCTGCTATAGAAATTGTGTAAATAAACAAAAAAAAGTTCATCAAAAGTGATAACCCATTAAGTAAGAAGTTGTGTAAACAGAAAAATGTATTTCAATCGAATATGTTTTGATAGAAACCACTGTAATGATGCATTGAAAATGGGCTTTTTTTTACTTTTAACAATAATCAATGAGTAACGATTAGACAATCAATCAACTTGAACCGATATGTTATTTTTTTAAAATGATTATATTGCAGAAGCTATTTTTGATTCAGTCAGATAGACCAATCTTCGGTACTGAAATAAAAATGTATTTAAGAATACTACATAAAAATTATAATAACCGACTTTAGGTTATCCCTATTGAAAATGCATGACAATCAAATCTAGCCACATGATAAGAACCAGACACCAATTGCAGTTACATTAGGATGGATATACAATATGGTAGTTTGAAGAACAAGTCCTAAACAAAATGAGTGAAACACCACAAACTATAGTTATAATCAATTGATTATTAATTTTAAAACCATAATCATAAATATTCCATACAAGAATATGGTAAATTAATGATAATAGGTTAGAACCTTTCAAAAGGTTAACGATCAATTAGTCGTATGCAACGTACAACATGGAATATGTATGCATCAGTTCAAGTTGCCATACGTCACTAGCATAAAGATATGAAATCATCAAGACAAATCCCTGGATAGTAAAAGTAGTAACAGTATCGATAGTAGTAGAATATATTAGACACAAAATATGAGATATAATATGGATTCGTGGAGTAAGAGAACTATGAGATGATTGAAAAATATGAGATCTAAGTAAAGGAAAAGAATAAATACACCTGTGAACGGATTTCAGCCATATTACTCAACGTCTCCAACCAGGTAACCTTTACCAACTCATATGATTCAGTACAATTGTCAATGACTGTAAAGACTGGCGGTATGTCTAGGTTTGGCCGCCCATAGCTTTCTTTCAACTACACTAGATAGCATCACCCATAGAGAGAGACGGTGGTTTTGTAAGCTAAACACATGTTTCAACCAAATGAAGTGATCATCAGGTTCAACCGATTAACTTCCTATCATTAGTGCAGGATTTGACGCGTACCAGTACTAAAGCAAAGTTTCGGATTTTGAGGGAGAAAACCACACCCCAAATATGCTCGCGTGGTTGCTTAAGGTGATCAAAAGACCCCGTATTTTATCGATGTCTTCACTTACTTGGACTGCATTATCTGTGTACTCTAAGTCAATAGGCGGTAGGATACCAATTTCAGAGGAGTTAGACAACGAAAGTGGCATCTCTAGAAAAATGTCGATGACAAAGTTAAATAAAAGTCAGGAAAGTGAACAACTCTGTTGAACACCACTTAAAGTTGACAATACTGATAACAATTCACCTTAAGTTCAAATTTGATCAGTAGTGTTTGAGTAAAGAGTCTGTATAAGGTTAATGTACTTCTTCGGTATGACTTTTAATGACAGATACTGTCATAAAACCACGGGGTAAACGGAGTCGAATTCCCTAATTAAAGTCGAGGAATCAAAACAAACGAGTAGGCAAACAAGTGACAATTATTCAGTGTAATGATAGAAGGAAATCTACTACAAAGTAAAGTAACTAGGAGAAATAAACAGTGAAAGTGAATGATAAAATATGAGTAATTATTATCAACTTTAGAGTCATTTTACTCAAGAGGACTGCCTATGCTGTCCTACATAATCTAGGTCAGTTGGTCATCCTGTTTATAGATTAAACAATAGGAATTTTCAAATTGAAATAATATTGGTGGTAATTTTTGATTCACATCGATTAAACCATTGCATAGGAAATAATATGTTAAACAGCTGAAAGTATATTACTATTAACCTATTTGATTATCTCTGTCGTCAAAAAGTGTACTCTCAGGCTCTTAAAATCATATTCCTATCAGTAATATAGGATAGAGTAGAATAGATATCTATTAAATGTATACTTTATTTGAACACTTATTCTTGTGGTGATGTTTAGTTCTCTGAGCTGGTTGTTTTGGTTGTGGAGCTTTCATTGTTCTTCTGAACAACATCATCAGCACAAACTTCAGATAGACTTCTATCATCCACCTGAGCTACAAATTTCCTCCACCGTCTCAAAACTTATTCTTCTTAGTTTATTAACATGGATATGATAAAAATGAGATTTTTGCACAAAAGTATGCCCATTCCAATTGGTAGAATTGTTTATGGTTAAGACAAATATTCAGATACACTAGATGGGGAATCCGAGTGGATAATAAGTCAATAGACACATAGCAATACGTTTACGGAGAAGATAAAGAAAGTATATATCAGCATCAATATAGGTTGAGAGCTTAATACATCATCACCCAAACTGACGCTAATCAGATTTATCACATGAAGCTTGTCTATAAATAACTCACATGAACAGCTACTAACACTGAAGGAAGGCACGATTTACTATTTCAATCGACATATCATAATTGATGGTTGGTTTGCATGTTTAACAATACAAGTGTATTTTCCTTAGCTATACAATCGATAAATATGACAGTTTACGGTACACACACGTATTTGATTCCCGGTACAACTTAATCATTTTTTACGAATGACAATATGAAGTAATACAGAGTTATGTATCGTAAACTTGAAGTATTTAACCTTTTCCATCTAGATGATAGGAAAACTACATCCGAAGTTGTACTTAGACACTAATT